TGCCCCCCTGCCCCAACCCCCCAGTATGTGGGGCAGGAGGTGTGGGGTATAGGGAACCCCAAGCAGCCCCTTGCAGGCTGGAACTATTCCAGTCTGCAAGGGGAAACCCACGGTTTCCTTCCTCTTTTGAAGGAAAATCCATTTTTAAGGTTTGTTTGCAACCCTTTCTTACATCCTTGTGACCCACTTTTGGGTCACAGCCCAGGGGATGAGAAGCACTGATTTAGAGAGGCCTGTTTCTCTTTGCAAGGAATGCAGAGGAATATAGTACACAAAAGGAATATGCAGTGCTGAGGCATATTTAAGGACCTAGAGAGATATTAGAGTCAAACATGATGTCAAGCTTGAGTGACAGACATCATGGTGATATTTTGATTGAGAAAGGAAGTGGCAGGGAAGGTTTGGTGAGGAAGATTTCAGACCTCTGTGATAGCCATGTTAAGCTGAGATGATGATAAACACCCCCAAAAATGTCAGACACAGACTGACTTATTTGTTTGGAGAGAAAGAGGTCTGGAGTAGGCTGCCTGTGGTCCATGTCGAGCTGGGAGTCAAATTTGTGTTTGCAGGTGAGGTTACCGGAGGTAAAATGTAAAGGAGGGACAGAAGGGGACCCAGGACAGAGCCTTGTAGAAACCTCACAGAAAAGGTGAGGCAAAATGGGTAGGTTCCTGTGCAGGGGTGATTGGAGAGGTTGGAAGAGACTCTGGAGAGGACAGAACTACAGAAGCTTCAGGGAGAGCGTCATTGATGGTGCTGAAGCATATTAACAGGTCCTGGGGAATAAGAATGAAATCATAGTTCTGAGCTTTTGCTAAGATGTAGTCAGTGGAGACTGTGTCAAGAACTGTTTGAATGCCATTGGGTGGGTGCTAGCTTGGGCTGAGTTTGTGCTGGAATTGTAGGAGAGGAATTCTGGAGAGCGTTTGCAGAGATTAGGCAATGATTATAGAAGCAAGTGATGTCAATAGTTTTTTCTAAGATGGGGAAAAATAAAATCATGTTTGTATTGTGAGGAGACAGAGCCAGAGGCAAATGAAGTTAGACAAAGTGAGGGTAGATTAGAGTGAATGTGAGGTAGGTCAAGAGATGAGTTGGGATGTGATCAGTGAGGCCAGTGAAGGTTAGAGGAGGAGACCAGATGAGAAACTTCTGTAACTGTGGCAGGTGAGAGGGAGGGAGAGAGGGGGAATTGAATGCCAGCCAAGGGGAGAATAAAGGCCACATTTAATTTATCAGTTTTCTCGTGAAAGAAATTCTGTCATTTTGTTCAGAGAGAGAGAGAAGTAGATAGGGGGGAAGGCTTGAAGAGGGCATCACATGGCAAACAGGCAACTGGGATTGAGGGCGCGAGACTCAAATTGAAGATAGAGCTGGTTAGCTAAAAAATGACAGATTTGAATGAGGTGAGAAGGAATTAGTAGTAAAGTGGTGAAACCTGCTGATGGGATTTCTGCCAAGTATGTTCTGTAGTACAGTGTCACGAGCAGATGAAGCAGATGTTGTGGGGGAGCTGGAAGCTGGCAGGACAGTCCTTGTGATGGAGGAGAGGAGGCTAGAAAGTCAAAGGTGAAAGGAAGTGAAGCATGCAAAGAATCAAAACATTTCACTAGAAGAAAGAGAGAAGGTTGTGAATCTGGTGGCTTCCACCATCAGTGAATTCATATAATTGATCCAGTGGTGGTATCATGCAGGGTATCAAATCATAGTATATACGCGAAGGCGTATGTCTTGGCAATGTCTTAGTTAATTTAGAGCAGTATCTACTTTACCATTAACTTCAGTTTGTCAAGATTTCACTCCCAATGCTTTTATTCCTATATATGGAGGGAGTCAGGAGAAATCAGAGGATAAATCTGTCCTTTATCTGTTGTGCTTTCAGAGAAACATGCTTTCAAATACATGCTGCCCATGCATTTCCATTTCTGCTCACATATGCCAAATATGGAAATGTAATGGTGAAGTTGTTCTGGGGGAGTCATCTTTGGCTGCATTCAAGCGCACCAGTGGCAAAGGTCTTGAGAATGGGTGGGTTGTGCCCTGAGAGCTTCACCACCACATTTCTGGGTTTGGCACATTGGAGCAGTGTTCAAGAGCTTTTTTCCTTGAGAGCATTGTTTGTGGTATAGACATAGTCTGTATGGAATCTGTAAACTCCATCAAGTCCACAAAACTTTTCCTTAATCTGCAGCGTCGCTGTTCTTCTGGTTGTGTGCAGTGTACTATGAGCCAGTACACAGGACCAGAGCTGTGCTTAGGTTAGTGTAGAAGACAAGCAGATGGCCCCCGATGGAATTTTCTTCCTTCCACATCAACCAGGGAGCAGTCATTCATAATCTCTTCCCACAGTGACAATTCACCTACCTTATGGGAAGCACAGTTCCCACGTGAGTGGCTGGCTCCCACATGAGCTGCTGGTTAGAAGGATATAGTGGAGAGATGATGCTATTTCCTGAGGTCCTTGTTTGTTTCTTAAGGTGTTATTAAGAGTCAGCCTGCCAGGTTCACCTTCACTTCTGCAGCCACCATAGCAGAATTGCCAAAAGAGTAGGTATATTTACCAAATCGAATTGTGCTGTTTTACATCAAAACTGATCTTGATTTTTTTAAACTATGAAATATATACTAAAGCAGTGCTAAATAGTTCCATATTTTCTTTCTTCAGTATATTAAAATTCTAGAAGTCTGATTTATCTTTTGCTTAATTACCAGTTTTAAATGACTTATAATAATTCCTGTGTATGTGTATTAGGTAAATTCTACTAGTATAATTCTTTTTCTCCCTTTCTACAGGAACACCAGTTTACTCGGTAGCATGGAGTCCTGATTCAGGAAAGGTTCTCTATACTTCAGGAAAGCAGCTGATTATTAAACCTCTTCAGCCAAATGCTAAAGTTTTACAGGTATCATAAATATTAAATTATACATATAAAGTGAAATTTTGCTAGGAAAATACAATTCACATATAAACTGCCACACAGTTTGGCACAAACAGAAATGAAATTAGGGATACAAATGGTTAAACAACAATTATATCTATACCATTTACTGCTTACTGTTTACCATTTAGTGACCTCTGGCAGGAACAGCCTTGGTCGTGGCCTATTTTCATCATGCTTCTGGTGCTGTATGGGCCAAAGGCTGCTGGCCAGGAGCCTTGGTCAGGAAGCAGCAGGCACAGCTGAATCACTAGAGGATGCTACCCAGCTGCAGATCCATGACTACCACTCACCCCCATGGGCAGGGGCTGGGGCTATGGATGGAGCCAGAGCTGCAGACCTCTCCTGTGCTCAGATCCCACCACCACAGAGTGATGCCTGGCTCCCTGCAAGGGTCAGGCAGGGCCTTCCTGCCACAGTAGTAGCCTCATGGTGGGTCTGCCTGGCCTCCCTGCAGTGGCAGGGCCTAGGCAGGGTAACACACTCCCTGTGCTACTGCACCACTGCCCCTCAGGAACATACTGATGGGAACCTACCACAAGGATAGGTTAGTGCAACCTCTCTGAATAAGATATATGGTAGTGCCCATTGTGTTTGGTCCCCCTCAGTGCCAACTTTTTTCAAGTCATAGTGAACCACTACATTGAGTACATTTTAACTTCTTCATTCCCAAAGCTGACGTGCACCTTCCTTTCCCATTTCCAATGATTCTTGTTTCTTTACCAGCTTTAAATGTATGGCAAGCATCACCAAATAGGACCCCAAACAGTTCACTCAGAATCCCTCTGTTACCCCCTCTCTCAACCTGTCACATATGATTAGCATGGCCCTACCATCTGTGAGGCGAGCCAGACCAGGCTGCCCTGCACTTCATCTGCATTTAAATTGTGTGAGTATCCCAAGACAAAAGCAGTTAGTTTTGCAGTGAGCTCCCTGCAGGCTGGTAGCTGGGATGGAGCAGAAGGAAGGCAGAAAGACAGGGGGCACCACATGCATAGACATGCCTGGGGACCCAGGCAGCCTGCAGAGCAGCTCCAGCAGGTAAGTGCAGGGCAAAAGGAGGATTGAGGCCCCAGTATGGAGGGAGCTGGTCAGGGCTGGGACTGCTGCCCAGCTGGGTGGGGTTTGGGGCCTGGGGCCACAATGCACTGCTGCACGGCCCCAGCCAGGAGCAGGACAGGGTCATGGAGGGTGGCCAGTACTCCACTGCCATGCACATTCCTGTGGGGCACAGATTGTGGGCTCAGGTCCCACCCTACTTCCCTCCCCCGGGACCTCCAGGGCCAGGAGGCGTGACCTGGCGTGGCTGGGCACAGCAGGGCCATGTGGGGACTCCTCACTGGTGCAAGCTGCACCCTTGCTGCCCTGGTGACATGCCTCCAGCACCTGCTGCTGCTTTGGGGAGTACAGCCCTGTGCCACTGCCCTTGCCGCAGCCTAGCGCATGGGAGGGGTGTCACTGGGGCAGCAGGGGAATAAGAAGCAGCGAGGAGGTTTTCTGCATGGCTCCTCTGCTTCCTGCTGCGCTGGGTCATAGGGTGGGGATGGGGAGCAGGGCAACAGGGAACAGCAGTGAGTAGGGGACCTGCTATTCCCTGCTGCCTTACTTCCTCCTGTGTGATCTGGCATGACAGGGAGTGGAGGAACCATACAGAAAACCTCCTCGCTGCTTCTCGCTCCCCTGCTGCCCTGGGCTGCAGCAAGGGCAGCGGTAAGGGGTTGTGCCCCCCAAAGCAGTGGCAGGCACTGTAGATGTGTCGCTGTGGGGGGGCAGCTTACACTGGCGAGGAATCCCCACGTGACCCCCACTGTCCCCAGCTGGTCTGCGTCCTGCTTCCTGGCTCTGGAGGCCCCACTGGAGGGAAGCAAGGCAGGAGCCTATGCCTGCCCTGGGTATAGATCTGGGGGAGTGGGTCTCCCGTGCCCCCTGGGAATGCATGTGGCAGCGGGGAACTGACCTTCCCCCTCCCCTGATGAGACACCCATGGCCCCATCCTGCTTCCAGCTGGCAGCCTGCAGCTGCACATTTCGGCCTTGGGCCCCAAGCACCATTTGGTTGGGCAGCAGCTTCAGCCTGCACCTGCACCAGGTACAGATCTGGGAGGCATGGGTCCCCCCACCCCCTGGGCATGCACACAGCAGGGGGGGAGTGGAGGCAGGCGGCTGCAGACCAGGGTCCCTGGCAGCTGGGGGCCCTCTCTGGCAGGGCTGGGGAAGCAGGGGCTGTGGGTGGGGGGGCAAGGGGCACCTGCAAGGCTGTGGGGGCCATGGGTGGGGAGTGAGGGACACCAGCAGGGCTGTTGGGGAACCTTTTATTTTAATCATGAATTCTGGTGGTTTTAGTAGAGAATTTGTGGGATTTTTTAGAAGATAATTTGTGATTTTTTTTTTTATCAGGGAAAACTAGGATCCCTGATGATAAATAATGAGCTTTTTGGGTTTGGACTAATATCACGCATAGTTTGTAGGTACCAAAGTGCTACTTAAAAGCATGTTTATGGAGTACCTGTGCTAAAACGTGCAGCAGTTTCCAAAAATGGTAAAATGCATCAATTTTGGATGAACTAAGTCTATGGGTACAGGCATACTTATTTCAAAGTCAGTAGGTGTTTGTACATATGCATTTGATCTGAGAGCAGTTTACTTGCAAGTAAATGCTCCTGGGCAGGCATCTACACATGCAGAGACTCGGGAGAAGATTTGCTGCTCATGGCAGCAACCTGCTTCCGTCCCCACTGGCCCTGCATTGCCCCCCTGCTGCAGCCAGAGGGAGCTTTAGGCTCCCTGTGGGTGCTAGCCCAGGGGCTGACAGGGAGCATGGGGCCAGGAGACAGCTGTTTCCTGGCAGAGGCTGGGACATTGCTCCCCACTCCCAGGTGTCTGCCTCCTGCTGGGGCAGGCTCTGCCATCAAATCCTGGGCAGGAACAATGTGTCGTTGTCCCCCCCGACAAGCAGCTCCTGGCCCTGGCTCCCCAATCAGGGGCATGGGGCTTGGAGAAAGAGCTACAGGGCAGGGGCAGGTCCCAGGCCCCTGCCCCATTCCCCCTTGGGGCAGGTAGCAGTGAACCCCTACTGGGCAGGGATTCCTTGGCCAGTTTGGGGCTTGCTGCTAGCTGTCCCATCAGTAGATTGGGGCAGGGGGCTGGGACCTGCCCCAGCCCTGGAGCTGTTTCTAAGCCCTGTGCCTTGATCACTTAAACAGGGTTGGGACCTGCCCACGATCGGGGCAGTTCCCAGCCCCCACTCTGTGACTGCTGGGTGGGGGTTGGAGAGCCTGTTCCCTGTCCAGGTGTGCACCTGTTCCCTGCCCAGCCCTGTGATTACATAGCTGGGTGGGGAACAGGCTCAGCAGGCCCCACTCTACAAGTGGGGAGCTGGGGCTGAGAGATCCTTATCTCTTAGCACCAGCTCCGCAGTCACAGGGTCTCTGCAGTTGTGGGGCTCAAGCTGGGAGATCCTTATGTCCCAGTGCCAGCTCTGTGGTGGTGGAGCTGGGCCTGGGAGAAAATAATCTCCTAGCCTGAGCCCCACGACTGCAGAGCTCGGGCTGGGAGATCAGGATCTCCCAGGCCCTTGTGTCCCTGATTGTAATAGGGGGCTGGGAGATAAGGATCTCCCAGGCCCTTGTGTCCCTGATTGTAATAGGGAGATGAGGATCTCTGAGCCCTCGCTCCCCAGCTGGGAGCTCCCTGCTGTTGGGTCAGGAGGACATGGTTCCCATCTAGGCTTCAGTGGCAGAGCCCACCTTGGCAGCAGACAGCTCCCAGAGGCAATTTCCCATCCCCTGCTGCCCAGCTGACCAGGAGCACTTTTGCTCCCAGTCAGGCATCTACACAAGTGCTACTGCACAGTAACTAATCACAAGTAAATTTGCTACTTGCATTTGCAGGTAGCCAATTTACTCACAATTAGAGCAGTTTACTGGGCAGTAAGCATGTGCATATGTGAGCAGAAGTAAGTGTCAGAGGGGAAGGAGCCTACTTGATCTCCCCCAGATTTATTTTCCCTGCTGTAGCAGTGGGAAGGTCACAAATTCAAGGCAATAATCTCTGATAATTCTCTGATTTTGACCTG